CGCCTGGTCATAATCGTAAACACATGGAAGAAGTGAATATTGATAGACGCAGCCTAACGTAATTAAATGTTATATTCTCATCGATTTATATGACGCAATGAAAATTGAATTCTTGACACTACTCTTTTTCAAACTAAATAATATAAAGTTATATGACGCCAAAAAAAAAATTTTGTATATAATTATATATAAATATATAATATTTATATAGAAATATATATAAATATATAATTATAGTTATATAAAAATATATATAATTATATAATTATATATACATTTATTAAAATTATTTAAAATTATATTTTTAAATAATTTTAAAATTGTATTTTTAAATAATTTTTTTAAACTATATATAAAACATTTTTTTTCCGGGATTGGTTTCACATTATTCCTTTCAAGATCCTTACTCATTTCCTTCTCATTAACATGTCATTGCTAGTTTAGGCTCAAAAAAAGAAAGGCGGTATTTTCATTAACTTTGTAGGCAATATAAAAAATACAGCAATTGCTTACAGTTTAGTACTCAAACATCAATCTCATAGCAATTGCAGAAGTGTAACGATGCCTCTTAGTGATATACGATATAGCATCAATTTCAAAAATTTTGTTTCTGTTTGCGAGTATACTACTTTAAACTCAAATTAAACGTAAAATTATTATAAGTATTAAGCTACGCAAAATTATTGTACGATTTTGTCTTTAGAACACATTATCAACCTTTTACGATGATGCTTTTGTGCTCTGACAGTGCTCAATTGTATCTCCGAAAAAAATTGTATCTTCTAAAAGATTCCCGTACAATACATATGAAATCTCATACAAAAGTTACATTTTTATTCTACACTTCATTCATCAGTTCGTCACTATTACTAGTTATTATTCGTTATTATTAGTAGTTATAATTGTTCATTATCTCCTTCGTTGATAGTTGCTATTTATTCTTTGCTTGTCGTACAAGAGGTGACCAGGTAGTGACCCTAAAAAATAAATAATTTCTTATTTATCACGTGTGATGTGGAATATTACACTTTTAATCTATTATAATATAATTATCAGGATATAACAAAAATATAAAGACAAATGTAAGTGTACAAATGAATTAAAATGTCATATCATAAATGACCTCAGTTTGAATGTGTCGAATAAGAGAAGTTTTAAAATTGTAGATCTTGCCACACGTCTCACAAGTATACTGCTTTATATGTATAAGTTGGTGTTTTTTTAGACTAGATTCATGAATAAATGTTTTGCCGCATATTTCCTAAAATAGAATACATTTATGATTAAAGGAAAGTAAAAATAAAAACAATCAAATAAAAAATAATTAGAAAAATTACTAATAATAATTTTGTAGCACGTACCTTGCAAATATATCGTTTTTCGCCAGTATGTACTTTCATGTGCTGTTTTAAGTCCATATAATGAATAAATGTAGATAAACATTGATTACATTCATATACTCCTTTATGTCTTTTTTTTGTATGATTTTCCAACCTCTCATAAGTTGTGAAAATTTCCTTACACACGTTACACTTGTAATTTTTGTCAAGCTTATGCTTTACCTCTATATGTATTTTTAGGTTTTCTTTTCGACTACAAAATAACCGTAGTAATATTTATGGTTTTTTTATCAATTAATTTAAGTATAGACATTAAATTATCAAATCATTTATCTGATTTTTGTTGTTAACTCAAATACTCACGTAAATGATCTTTTACAAAATTCGCAATGATAAGGTTTTATCTCTGTATGACTTATTTCATGACGACGCATACTACATTTATGCTTGAATGTTCTATCACATGTTCCGCATTTGTATGGTTTATTTTCAGTATGTACCTCTTTATTATGTTGCGTACAAGCAATCGAGGTGTCAAATTTTTCACCTTTAATATTAAAGAAAATTATTATTATAAATACATACAAAAATGGTAACATAAAACGGATAACTGTTAAAATAACAAAGTTATCAAAACACTAAAAATATCAATCTTGAGCTAACATAATCTTACCGCAAAGATAGCATACATATTTTTTTGTGCCATTATCCATTATCTTCGACTATCAATTCAAATATTGCGAAACTTGAGATTGAATGTTTCTCTTTTTTTTTCAAATTCAATTCTCTGCGGGCGTATTCTCGGTTAAATTAATTGTAACATTTCCTAAATTCTTTTTGTAATTTTTACAATCTCAATTTTTTTGTATATTTTTAAGGTTATTTATTTTTTATCTAAAAAACCGTAAAAAAAATATAATTTCTTAAAAACAAAAACTTTTATCTATCAATTTTATAACGGAAGATTGCGGTTAACATATAAATACTTTTTTCGTTAAACAACTTAAAACACTTGAAATGACAGGTGAATACATTGTTATAACAATGTATAAAACAGCCGAGGTATTCACAATTTAGATATAGAATTATCAAAGTGTATTGGTTAGTGGATATTGAATACACTTTAACAATAAAGACTGCAATAATCTTTGTTTAAGTCATCTTTTAACGCATTTTACTACTAAACTGATATTTTATTGATTTTTTAGTGATACTTGACATGAAATTTTTAATGTATATTCTACATATAAACATTTCTTTATTTTTTTTTAATTTACATAAATAAAATACTAAGTATAATGTTAGATTAAAAACATGAGATGTTAAAATAGTTAAACGTAATTCAAACGAACATTGAGTAGGAATAGGAACATATAAATAAAAAACCGCTGTCAAGGTTGAAAGCAACATCTTGTATAAATAGATGTTAAGTATGAAAGAAGATTTAGAATAAACCCTACAATGATATTAAATCATATTTTGAAATGTGTTAAGTAAAAATTAAAATATTTAATATGCAATCGGCAATAGTTATAATCTGTTATATAGTTATATAATTATAATCTGTTTGATAATGGACAAGGATTACAAGCAATTAAGTTATAATAAAATTATTGCAGTCACGAAAATTAAAAAAAAAATTAATCAATATGTCAAAGGTAGACTAAGTTTTAAAAGAAAAATTTATAAAATTAAGAATGACGATTAGATTGAAAAATGATTTAAAAACTGAGTTAGATTTAAAAACTGAAATTTTGATGATATAATAACTTACATACAATACTTACGGCTTTGATGTAGTGATAAAGATTATTTCGGTTAAATTGTAAATTGTTTGCTGACAACTAACCACGTCAAAATCTTGGAAATAACTGTGACAAAACGAACAGATATGTGTATATATATATATACATTTTTTTATGTATACACAGGATTGTCAACATTATCTCATAAAAGTAACCCTCGTCACTCAAACGAAATGTAACAATTTTTCACTTTTTCATTATCTTCTTTCTTGAAAGTAATAAAATATTTTACAGCGTTACTCATTGGCAGTACACACTGCATATTGCAGCCCTTATACACTACTCTAATCAGCACCGCAAATGGGTTTCACTTGCTGATTGGTTGACAGTGGCTACCAATCAAAAAACCGAATATATTATGATCCTTAAACTAAAAATGCAATGTTTAGTATATTTATTATTAAAAAATTATTACACATCCAAGCAAAAATTTGGAAGATATGAATTTCAATCAAGTTTCTGTTATATTTTTATTTAAAAAATAAGAGTATCAAAAAATTGTATTATTTTAACTAATTCGAATATATAATTTTATCAAAAAGTATAAAAAATTGCGTCAATTACAAGCATAATATACATTTTTTTTCAAACATTATTATTGTATTACTTCTTTAAAAAATAAAATGTGCAAGAAATTAGATTCTAAATTACAAGTGTTTATTTAAAAAAAATAAAATTTAAGTACAAATTTATTTATTTCTGTATAAAAATCATTCCATTTCCACTCAAATAATATATATTTTTCTATTCCAACTGTCAGTAAAATTTAATTACAAAGAAATAAAAGAGTAAAAGTATAAACTTAAGAAATTTATTTTAAATAAAAAAATTTTAGTAAAAAAACTTAGCGATGCTACACGGTTAATAATACAATATATGTACATAATAACACTTTTTTGTAAAATTTCTTTTTTACAAAAAGGTACAAAAAGCGTAATTATACACACATTTGTATGTGAGTTCCTTAAAAAAAAATAACTATATTTTAAATCTATTTTAAATCATCTTTCCAAACCATCATAGTAATAATAATTTAAAAAAAAAAAAGAAATATTCAAATTGCTTTAATTATAAACAAAAGAATACGTTTATTGAAACACTAATGTTATATAGTTACCTTTAAGCAATAAAATTCGTGGCTCTATTTTCTTCGTAAACATAATAATTATTTTTCATTTCTTTTTGCTAATTTAATCAAAATGGTTATATTTTTTAATTAAATAAAAATGAAATCCAAATGCCAACATCTTTATACTTGTTCCATTCTATTAAAGTAATAATAATCCAAGTATGTTCTCATATATTTATATTAAAAAATAATGATAACTCATACACATGTATAATCTTTTAATTCAAATATATAATATGTGTTCATTATTCTAAAAAAATATATGAATATGAGAGTACTCAATTGAAATAAACCGTTTTTAATCGAAAAGAAAGAGACCAATTCTTTTTCAATTGATATCATAGTAAAATCGTATAGCGCATCATCGTCATTGTAGATATCAGAATCTTCCTTATTTTTAATTTTAAATAAGATGCCTCTACACAGACATTAGCACAATTAATAAAATTTTTTTGCTATTGCTACATTTAAAAAGATTTCTGGAAAACTACTTTTAACTAATTCGATTTAAATATCAAAGTATAATTTTATATTTAGAAGAGTAGCATTGTCTATCGAAATTTTGCGCTTTTTCAAATTTTGAGCTAAAACGCACTTTCTTAGTGTCTTATTACGTTTCCGCTTTTGTATATAAAAAAAATTAAGAAGCAAAAATCGTTTGTACATATGTACATATTATTGCTTACAGATTGATGCTCTACAACACATAAATTATAATACATAGGAAAATAGCTTTTGTTTTTATAACAAAAAATTTACGTTGAAAATGGTGCATGTAGACAGTTGAGGTGTAGGCAAAAGTTCTTACGCACAAATGAGTTGTAGGCAGATGTAATGTAGGCAAACGATACTGTAAACGATCAGTTCTTGTTGATAAACGGAGTTTTACTCCTTCGAAATAGTATGTCTATATCCTAGCGAAAATATGGAACTTTATAAAACGTTTACAGCCCTTTTATGACGATTTTTTAAAAGTTTATACGTTTTCAAACTTTATAAGAACGCTTACAAAATATCATTGGGTTTTAAACATTATTAAAATATAAAACACAATATGCCGTTTCGTGAAAGTTCTGTAATTTAATTACATTAAATTTTATTTATTCTCTAATTTTAAATGTTAATATTAAAAATCAATAAAGAGATTTGATTAATCAAAGTAAAAAAGAAACGCGCAGTTATCATCAATGATAATATTAATATTTGGCTTACGCTAGTTTCAGTTGTTTCATTGTAATGGTTTTTGACAGTTTCAAAGTTTTCATAATTTTCTTGAAATAATATTTCCAAACCTTAGATTTTAACAATGTTTTAGAATTTTAAATAGAAATTTAAATATTTATCTTGCACTATTCATTTGTTCTATGTCTTCTTTTCTCTTATGCTTTTATTAGCATATATATCTCAGGTCTTATATTACATACTATATAAGAATTCTATAATTTTCAATGACTACAAATATGGTATATAATACGCAAGTATATATAGTATATATATATAATTGACATTGAATTATTTAAGTATCAAAGACCCAGCTTCGATCGTTATAGACATTTAATTCATAATTCTTATTAGTTGCGTTTTCACATGTATGATCTAAAATAAGGTTCTTATTAATTTTCAATGAATAAGAACATTCATTTCATGAAATTCATTTCATTTCATGAAATTCATTTCATAAGAACATTCATTTCATGAAATTCATTTCATTTCATTTCATTTCATTCAAATGTATGAAATTTTAACTCGGTGGAGGATACCCAAAAAATTGGCTAACTTAGTCCAAGTTTGTTTAAAAGATACCAGAGGTAGAGTAAGAATAGGTAATCAAATGTCGGAAACTTTTAATATTCATAGCGGATTAAAGCAGGGGGATGCATTGTCACCTCTTCTGTTTAATCTAGTATTGGAATATGCTATTAAAGAAATGCAGAAGAGTAATGATGGTTTGCAGTTGAACGGTACAACACAAATATTAACATATGCGGACGATATTGCTTTGTTGGGAGATAATAAAGAAACACTAATAAATAACGCTAAAATTCTATTAGATAAAACGAAAGAACTGGGGCTGCAAATAAACGTTGAAAAAACTAAATATATGGTCACTGATAGAATTCAGAATATTCATAATAACGGAAACCTGGTCGTCTGTGATAAAATTTTTGAACGGGTTAGCAATTTTAAGTATTTAGGATCGATTTTAAACCAAACTAATGAAATAAGAGAAGAGCTCAAGAGAAGAATTAATTTGGGGAATGCGTGCTTCTATTCGGTTAAGAAACTACTCGGTTCGCGGATATTGTCTAGGCGCTTAAAAATTAGAATTTACAGAACGATTATTTTACCGGTAGTCCTTTATGGCAGCGAAGCGTGGTCACTTACATTACAAGACGAGAAAAGATTTAGGGCTTTCGAAAATAAAGTACTTCGAAAAATCATCGGGGCAAAACGCGATGAGGAAACGGGCGAATGGAGAAAATTACACAACGCAGAATTACATCAATTATATAATAGTCCGGATATTATTAATGTCATAAAATCACGTCGATTAAGATGGGCAGGTCACGCGGCGCGTATGGATGAGAATCGGATTGCATATAAAGTACTAATTGGTAAACCGGATGGGAAGAGACCATTGGGTAGACCAAGACGTAGATGGGAAGAAAATATTAGAATGGACCTTAACGAAATGGGGTACGAGGGTCACAAATGGAGGGATCTGGCTCAGGGACGGGAACAGTGGCGGGATTTGGTATTTGCGGCAATGAGCTTTCGA